TTTGCCAGATCACAGCTTCGTCATCAAGCAGTCTCAAAGGGACAAATGAGTATACGAACAAAAATTCGTCTGTAACGTTAGTATTCTCAAACTTCTGTTTATACGTGCTATGCCCCGAACTCCCATCACAGCTCCATTTGCTTATCAACGTATAATAAGAACGAGGTAACACACTTCTAATGAATTCCGTCTGAACTTTAACTAATCGTTCAGCCGTTTTATCCAAAATCGCCTGGAGTTTAATTTCAGCTCGAGATTCAGTCACAGAAAGATATTCGTCAGAAGGACAACAAGAAGCTTTGGACTTACCTGAACTATAAAACGATGGATACACTTGATGTCCCGCTTTCATTGACCACTTTCTTGTTTGTTTATATGAGCGAGAAGTCGATTTCGAGTCCACATAATAAGCTAAAGCTTCGTCTGGTGTTAACTGCCGACTTTGTTCAGAACATATATTCTTTTCTCTAGTTTCACTGACCGAGACTTTATGGATCAACTTATCGGGGCATCGAAGTGTTGCTAACACTTCGATGCCCCGATAAGTTCACTTGCACTTCGCGATTCCAATAGATCTTCTACTCTCCGTCTCTTCGTGTTTGTTGATGAGTCTTCAAAAGATTTTCTGGGTTGCCCTACGGAAAGAGCCGCTGAGAGCTGTTGAAGTGCACGGCTGGTTAACACACATCTTTATTTGGATGCCGGATCCCTGTAACCAATATTTATGTTTGATCAGAAACATTTCTTTGTTACAATTTAAAGAAGTCCACTTTTGATTGAATTTTGCTGAAAGGCTTGATATTTTCATTTCGAGTCGTTTTAGAAAATCGTCAGAAACATCATACATATTGAATTTTTCACTTATATAATAAAAAATGCCACTGTTTCGTTCAGTTTTGTCATGTTTTAGCCATTCTTTCAAAAAACTCAATTTTCGTCATAGTCACGACTCGTTCTGAAAAAAATAAAATAATTTTACTTTCGGGCCTTTTCGGGGTCTATATTATATATAAATCTGTGCCTGAATGTTGTAGGTATTACATATAGAAAAATGTAGGTGGATATATGTGGATAAAAAAAGTTGCCACCCTTTAAAGTTCACGATTAATGTGAAATTAGCTGAATTTATCTATACATTTACAAATTTGATATTACACCAAAAGTATACATATTTTTTTATAAAAAATATAATTCATAATAGAGTACATACCTTCAACAGAATATTCCATCACAAAAAAATAGTTTCACTTTGCTACCAATTTTAAAATATGCTATCACAAGTGTGCATAAAATGCTACTGATTTGCAAATGAAAATGACTTCTCTTATAAGGGTTACTTTGACCCCCTGATAAGATACCTTTATGAGGTGATAAACAAATTAATTCTTGGAATTCGTTACCTGGGGGGGTTGTTTACAAGTCGTTATCAGTGGTTCCTGGAAATCACGTCTTGAATATTGTCCCGCTAGCATGTTTTAGCTGAATCACTGTGCGTCGGTTAACTGACACAATCTGTTCGACCATCGCTCAATACACAGCTTTTAAGTACTTCTGAAGTTTTCTTTAAAAAGACCACATTTCCCCAACACAGTTAGTTTCTATCTTCTTTTATATAACGGGTGTTATAATAGATATCCCAAAAAATGAAATAACAGATAACACGGTTCAATATACATCGGTAAAAATAAAAAAAATAGTACGAAAATACAGAAATGCAAATTTAGAACAAACTAAATACAATAAAATAATTGCCGAATTAGAACACCATTGATAACATGAGTCGGTGAACTGTACACGGCAGCGTCGCAATGTCGGCGACAACAAAACGACGCCGCCACCGCCGCCGCCGCGACGAGCCGGCGAACTTTACATTCTTATTACCTACCTACTAATCACTTCACTTGCTTTGTTAAATCTATTTATTAAGAATACGATTTTATTCACATGTTTATTTTGGGAATGCTCGACTAGCTTCGGACCCGGCAGTACGTGTCACTCCTTGAAAAAGTAGGTACCTTGGTTGTCTCGTAATCTTTGTACTGCCCTTAAAAAAATTCGGCAGTCTGTAGGACATACACGATTGACTCCATACCTGTCCGTAAAGCAAAAGATGCGTTTTGATAGAGTTTTCCATAAATTAACATCATGGCAGGATATTCCGCGGCTGTGAAGATCACTCACGGCATTATGGATGTTGATACCGATAACCCAATAAAATTAAAAGACTGATAATTCACTCAGTTTCACACACTACACTCAGAACCTAATATTGTCACTTTTCAAAATAAAATTAGCAGGACTCGTTACATTACGAAGTCTTGCGCACACGATAACATTAAAACTTGTTCAAACCATTGCCGTGTATTATGACGAAAGCAATAAGACTAAACAATTATTACCACAAGAAAACTTTTCTAAACAAATATGTATCTCATGAACAACAACAATATTATTATTACGGTTATTTGTCGTGAGCGCATCTACAAGGATACAGAATAGCATAACACTCGCCGGTGGCCAAGGGCCTCTTAGATTTATAGTGTTTTGTCTATGCAAGGGCCGACTGACTGTCCTTACTGGATGAACTAATTAAAAACGCGTGTCCTTCATCGTGATGACGCAATAATCAACATATTTCGTTCGATTCGAGTGTAGTAAAAGCGGCAACGTGTGATTACCGCGCCGAGTATACCTACAGCTGATCGCCGCCTGAGGTCAATGTATTATGACTGCATGTACACACATGATGTTGCAAATTACGAAAACAAAAAAAAGCCGTGTGGTGTCGTGGGACACCCGATAGGAACGAAGTTGTGACGATCGAGTAAAACTGATTTGACACGATTTTAATTACAACGCCATCTATGAAAGCGGCTATTACCTACATATTAAAAACAATTAAAACAATTTATACATTGGTAAAATCTCCTTGCGAAATGATTTCCTACCTATTCGATAGATGGCGCTGAATGTCTGACAAGATGACACGAAAATAAAGAGCAAAAAGCCAACATCACGTGGTATTCCCAGGCGGTCACCCATCCAAGTACTAACCACGCCCGATGTTGCTTAACTTCGGTGATCGGACGAGAACCGGTGTATTCAACATGGTATGGACGTTGGCGAACGTTAAAGCAAATTTAATGTATGGTATCCACAGTTAGACGTCAATTTATATTAATAAAAAAGTGTCGTTCCAAATTTTCGTACGAATTTTTTCCGTCTAGCCCCCTTTCACAACGCGCGATAAGGAACTTCGTTCCAAAAAAATTCCTGTTTCTAAACCACTGAATATTTTTTGTTCATATTTTGCAAATTGTCTAGAAATAAAGTGCAGAATATGATGTTAAAAGCTTTGCGTTAATATATGAAACAGACTGTCCCTATAATCTTGATTCAACGTATCCTCTATGTCTGATGTTGAACGAAGTTGGGGCAAAAGCTAGTATAGTAAAAAAAAATGACTTAGATAAAAGATAACATTAGATTTAACCAATGTACAGGAAATCACTGCTACATATTATATTTACATAAAAGTCCAGAACTATTTACAATATATACACAGTATACTAATGCACATAAATTTAATATAATATAAAAAACTCAGTATAACTATATTACTATTGAGTTCCTAATAAATACTTCAAATGTAACCAACTAAATACCAAATCAAAGATTTCTAATACCAATGAGTACCGTTTATCAACAGTTAACATCCTGTAATAGGGACGTGTTGGTAACTAATTCACCGACACATCCATATTACATTTTACTATTATAATTTTATATCATTATAATTTTACTATTTTTGTATTTTATAAACATCTCAAAATAACTGTAATATAAAAATGTAATGTAGTGCAAATTATTTACAATAAATTCCATAGATCATGTTTCTATCTATACAGATCATTAAATTATATGTTTGATTTTGACAAAATATTTTATGTGCACAATATCTTCATATTAGTGGATTTATTTCTTTGCAACCTCGTCTTTTAATTTCTGTGTAATGTATCTTCTGTGTAATAGGAGGTTTTGTTGTTGTAATGAAGTATTTATTGTTTCTAACATTGTATTTTCAATAACTGATGCAATAAGAAACCATGTGACGACCGGATGGCGTAGCAGTTTGTGTAACGGACTGCTATTCCAAAGGTCGCGGGTTCGATTCCCGCTCAAGTCAAACATATGTGTGCATGAACATTTAATGTTTAGTTTGGTCTAGGTGTTTCTATGTATAATAAGTATGTATTTACAAAAAAGTATATTTGTATTTATATCAATTGTCTAGTACCCATAGTACAAGCTCTGCTTAGTTTGGGATTAGATGGCGTTGTGTGAATGTGGTAGAACATTATTCTTATTTATGTGAAGCAGATAAAATAAGGATCTGGAGAAATCCAAAATTAAACAAATGTGAATAATTCCATATATGTAATATATATTTATTACAAAGTAATTAAAAATTTAATACTAAAATAAAAACAATAGTAATATTAGGGACCAACCATAAATTATGTCAACGAAGTGTGGCATTGTCCTAAGTTTCCTGGTGTCACATTTTAAAATCTAATATACATATCTAAGTTTTATAACGTAAGTATTATTTTAAACAGTGATATAAATCATTGCTTTTGTTTTGTTACATTTTTTACAATGTTTTATTTGATTTTAATTTATGTAAATATTTGAGTTAATGTTGAAATGTAAAAAACTAATATAAATGGAATGAAAGCTAATTTTGGAACTGCTGTTTGAATTTAATAATTTCTAAATCTAAAATTGTAAAATATTTGACATCACACTCGACCATCATCATCATCAGACCGGGGGTCTTGCAAATGTTACCAGCTGTGAGAAGGATGGGGTGGAGGTCAAAGAAACATGACATTTGTGTACCGAAATTTATGGATGGCCCCTTATATGGTATGGTCTATTATTTAATAAGAATACTATGAGATAATTCTTGGCAGTGCACAATTAAAATATGTGTGTAGTTAATTCTTTTTCCATATCAGTGTTTTATTATTAGCAGGCATTTCTACAGTGTCTATGAGAGTTAAATTATTTTGTTCTGCTAATTTAACTAAATCAACAATATCACGGAGGCCCCATGATGCATTTCTTGCTTTCAGGGATGCATCAAACTGCACATTACTATCAGGTGTAATAACACCATCCTTACTATATGGTCCATAAGTGATCATCAGTGCATCAGGCTTCAAATAATTGCCTGCATTCTGGAATAATCCTATTGTACATTCATAAGGGCTAATGTGAATCATATTTGCACAATACATGTAATCAACACTGTTTTCCTGAAAACCGTATGATGATAATTTTGTACAAATATCTACCAGTTTTGGTAGAAGAATATTTTTTGTTGTGCAGTTCTTTGCATAGTATGTTATGCTTCCTAACAAATTGTCATCCACTTCAGTTGGCTGAAACCTCACACCTGGGAAATGTGGTGCGAAATAAGCTACATGTTGCCCAGAGCCTGATGCTATCTCCAAGAATAATGGACTCTCTTCATCTTCAGTATCACTTATTATAAATCTTTTCAAGACCTGTAGGATTGGGTCTTGGTTTCTAGATGCAGCAGGATAAATTAGTTTTTGATTCCTTATGCTGAAAAGAATACAAAGTCATGTAGTTTATTTACTTGTTTTTATCAAAAAAGAACAATAACATTCTTAAATTGTGACAGAGTAAAATTTACAAGGATTTTAAAAATTTTGAATGTACCTTTCTTCTCCAGAAAAAATGCATGCAACATCTTGAGCCATTGACCTTGGCTTTAAAAAAGTTCTACGAATTATAAATTTAATAAAATGAATTTTGGCTGATCTGATTTGTGATCCAAACTTAAAAGTTGTAAAAGATTTGTTGTAATCTATTCCAATAAGTCAGTTATTAATCATTTGTCAATTATTTGGGGCAAATAAATAATGTAGTTATTACTTAAAATATAAGACAAGATGACTATTTACAGAAAAATCACGTTTTGTAAAACATCACGAATCGATCCGAGCACTCAGCTGTTTAACTGTCATCACAGATTAGTAAATAATGTAGCAAGACTGTCATCTACCATGTAATTTTTTTATTTTTTATTCATGACCATAGATACAAGTCTTTCAGTCGAAAACATAGATGGGTTTAAACTTACTTATCTACCATGTCAAGATCCTCAGTGCTGCCGTCATAAAAATTAAAGAATCTACTACCTAGCTATCAATTTGAATTGAGAGCTATCACTTTTTGGCACTCAGTCAATTTGAGTGCGCGGTTGTAGTAACGGTTTTACATGTACAAAGTACAATGTTTTTGGAAATTAAATTTTGAATATTAATTAAAACACGTTTATAACCGTAAAAATAAAAATATTCTTCCAGATTCACACAACGCCGTCTAGTCCCAAACTAAGCAGAGCTTGTAGTGGGTACTAGACAACTGTTACTGTTTTACAATCCTTTTTGTTCTCGGAAACATATTATATTGGCTGATTATGTACTAAAAGTTGGTTGGAGGATACCATACCTTTTCCTGACCACTGATGTTTAAAAACCTGTAATGTGCTCTCTGTCCGTAAATTATTAATCCTCTCCGTTATTCTTACGACTCACTCTCAGACTCCTTATGACCCTTCGAAATTTTAATCTGTACGTCGAAAACATACCGTATGCCCGTCGAACACGGTCAGAACCAGAGTAGCACAGCGATGTTTTTACTACCTTGGTAACTATTTGTACGACAAAGTTAACAAAATCTTGAATGTAATAATATAAGAATAATAATATCGTTAATATAGTAGGCCAAAACCTCCTTTGTAAGGAGAGGCTTATGTCCAGCAGTGGACTATTAAAGGCTGTTGATGATGATGATTTATTTCTCACCAAAACCAAAATACATACAATGAAAATACGATTGCGCTACAACATTTGTCAATTTCGGTAGTGGATCGCTAGTGCCTGAGGTAGGTATAAAAACCTGTGTTACAGGACACCAGGTCCCCACTCCGACCACGTCTTGACATTTCAAAATACCTTAGTGAGGTGGTTAAAATATAGTTGTGCAAGAGAGTACAAAATTTAGGAAGAAAAAAAAAAAGAAACGAGCGGCAGTAGTAATAAATGTAACATTAACAAAAACAGGGTGTGTGTGCGTATGTGTCTGTGCGTGAATGTGTGTATATCTCTCTGTATGTCTTTTTATGTATGTGGGATTTAAGTTTTTAAGGAGTATATGCGCTGTGCCTGCTAGCCCTACGACATGGTCTTGGGATCGGATCAGTCATATGACATTTCCACTAGACTTACATATGTGCGCACACCAGTTTGTTTATGATTTATTTGCAATGCATGTGTCAATTTGTATGGAATGGATTCGCCAGTGTGTCACTGTAGGATCATTAATAGGTCTTCCGTCTCCTTTATATAAATCAGAAATGAACTTGGGCCTAGAATGATCCCTTGGGGCACGCCGTAAGTTATGGGCGTTTCAGTACTAGTACAAGAACCGATTAACACAAACTATGATTTACCCGTTAAATAACAACGAAACAGAGACAGTTGAGTCCCTCTAATACCTGAATATTCAAGCTTATTCGCAAGTATTTTTGTCGAGACGTTTTGTTAGAAAGCTTTTGCGAGATCCAAAAATAATGTAACGCATTTCTGACCCTTGTCAAGCTTTCTTACTATAGAGTCGACCAGATTGTGTACCGCATCTTCGGAGGATAGATTCTTTCTGAAACCAAATTGGTTAACTTTCTAAATAATTAATAAGCCTAGAGTTAATAATTTTTCCTAAAATTGTTGACATTACTGGTAGTACCGAAATGGGTCTATAGTTTTCGACACAGTCTCGATCGCCTGATTTGTGAATTGGTTGGAGAAGTGCTCTCTTAAAGGATTATGATTCCCCGATTGTAATGCTCAGGTTGCAGCTATATAGCCCTGTATATGCACTCTGTAAGTTGCCGACCTATACCTGCAAAATAGGCGTTAATGCTGTTTATTGACTGCTGATTATCTTTACAATAATGTGAATAATTATGCGTAATGTACACATGTGTATCTGTTTATTTTTTGTACGTGTGAAGTGTTAGTGTTTAGTATTACACAGATATAATTTAAATATGAAAATATAAAAGTAAAAATATAAAAGTATAAAAGTAAATTTAAATATGAAAATAAAAAATAACTGTGGGTAAACGGTCGTACTAGAAAGAACGTAAGGCAAGCGATACCCTCAATCTTACGGTATTGTAAAAATGTAAACAACATGCAATGGAATAAAAAGATTTCACCCAGTCATTTTTTCTTTGAAACCGCTTTGTTTACCCGGAGGTGTTCTCAACGCCGCCATGGTATATTTATTTTTATTGAAAAATTAGGTTCGCAGTTGTAGTGATTGCAGTAAACTTGAGTTCCGCGTGCGACAAAAGCAAGTCGGTGACTTGCACGAAATACAGACTGTTTGCACGTGGCGTCGAACTTTGCTAAAGTCGTTCTATCCTTTTTTTACTACGACCGGTTTATGAAGAAATTTAAAATAACTCTTATTGAGCGTAATAAAGTGCACACGACCGATCGCTAGCGCGGTTTGGGTGGAAGTACCCAATTTTAATGTAAAATAGCGGTCACAAAGTGGTTAATTAATTTGGATTATAACGAAAATGAAAAGATAATCTGCACTTTAAAATGTTGCATATTACGAGTAAAGTTTGTCTAGTTTTTGATTACTACGTACAGAAATCAATAATCACCAAAAAGTATTGTCAATAACTTCTTGCCTTAAAAATTATTAAAATTGTCATTGAATGCAAACACGATGAATATGTGTTTAGTTTTCGTTGAATTCTATAATGTATCATTTTGGCCTTAGGTTTTCTTTTTAGGTAAATGGTAGAGATATTAGTTTAAATACTTTCTTGATTGAAGTTACCAGAATTTTCAATTTTTAACGAAGTTTTTAATCTGTAACTTTTTAATGTTTCCCTTGACAAATTCCACTTGGCAATACTGGTAACAATAACAAATCAACGAGCTGGCTTAAAGGTCTTGTTACCAAGCCATCAAAATACAAAAAAAAAAAAACAAATCAACGAGCAGATTGTTTGTCACAGTCATTTATTTGTCACGAAAGTCAAAATATAGAATTTTTAAATAGAGTGAAATATGAATAACTTCCAGAAAGAGTTTTTAATGAATATGTTTTTGGACAGTGACAATGATTGCAACATGAATAGATTAGTTGTAGCTGTAGCAAATATTGTAAACGAAAATTGTGAAAATATGATCAATTTGAGTAATGTACAACAAGAAGCTGCACAGTCCTCTTTAACAGATTTTCGTCAATATTTTGGGGCTCTGCCTCTGCCTCGTCGTGTTAATGGATTCTATGAACAGGCAATCCTCAATTTCACAGAAGAAGATTACATTGGAAAATTTAAAATGAAGAAGACTACTGTCCAGGTATTAATTTACTACTAACATAGATTTCAATGTTAATAACTTTATCAAATCTTTTTGTTAACAATTTTTTTTTCAAAATGTTTTTCATAAGATAGCTATTGCCTACAAAAATATATCAAAGGACAATTCAAGTTGGTAGTTTTTTTAGTTTTTTAATGTTTGTGATTTGTAAAACTTTTTTTCATGACCCCTACAACCCTTTCTTTGGGACTGCACAACTCAATATTAACTTATAATTCTTTAATCAAATGTCAACTTATAATTTTTTAATCAAATGTCAACTTATAATTTTTTTTTAAATGAAAATGTATTTTTAGTATGGTTTTAAAAAATATAGTTATAAACTTGTTATAGAAAGCTATCAGTACCTATCAGTATATACCTATTGTATTTTAAAATTGTGTAACAGTAATACACATAGTGTAAAACTGTTTATAATTTTATATGTATCTAAGTATTATAACGAAAGTATTATTTTAAACAGTGATATAAATCATTGTTTTTGTTTTGTTACATTTTTTACAATGTTTTATTTGATTTTAATTTATGTAAATATTTGAGTTAATGTTGAAATGTAAAAAACTAATATAAATGGAATGAAAGCTAATTTTGGAACTAAGTAAAATGTAGGGTGCCTAATACTTTTGGCCAAGGCTGTATATTTTATAATTTTACATTACGGTTTTAAAGTACTCACTTATTTTGGTTTGACAAAGAGATTTTGATGCATAATTTGTAATAGTAAGAATTCCAATTTGCTTAATTTACCCTTTTTTATAAAAACTAGAAATATACTTACTTTGTTTTACAGTGTCTCCATTCGCCAAACTGTTCAACAGTATCCAAACCTAGTACTTAAATGCTACTTTTTAAATTATTAGTACAAAAGTATGAACTGATAACAAGAGACATACATACATACCACCTCTGATAATTGGGTGTTAGACAAAATCAGATTTGACTGCTCTTTTTGTGAGATATTTACACCTTCAATAAGATCTTCAATTAAATGAATTTCCTACAGATGGTGTTCTTAATGGGATGACTAATCAAATTAATCATGATATAATCTATGAAAACATGCCTCAAATTGCAGACTGACAGAATGTAGTGTATTATGTGGGAGATAGTATTAAGTGTGATCATATTAAGTGGATTTTACTGTATGTAGAAAAATCTATTATAAGTTTTAGCTATTTGAAGTAATATATTACCCTGCCCACACTGTGAATTGATTGTTCTCCAAATTTCATAAAGATTTTTGTTTCATTTCCAGGCATTAATCAAATTCCTAAAGAATCATGTGAGTCCTGGCAACATTCCTCTTGAGAAAAAAGTTCATATATTTCTGTATGTGCTTGTCAGTGATAGTTCCTGTAATGAAATTGCCAAACTGTTTGGTATACATAGGTCTTCAGTAAGTTATATTTTTCAAGAAATAGCCACCCACCTAAATGAAAACATATATCAATTTATCAGCTGGCCTTCAAAAGAGGAACAGCATGTCACAAGGATAAAGGTGAATAGTCGGTTTAAGTTTCCAAACTGCGTTGGCTTCATTGATGCTTGTCGATTTAAAGTTGGTTCAAAGAGAAACAAAAGAGATAAACCAGATATTGTTCTCTTACAAGCAGTCTGTGATGAAACATTGATGTTTATAGATATTTATATTAGTCCAATTGGGCGAACCAAGAAAAACAAAGTATTCAAAGACAGTCAATTGGTGAATGAGTTAAAGAAATTTGTCGAATTTGAGAATCATATCATAGGAGACTCTGAATACAGATTACGAAAAAATCTTATTACGCCTTTTACAAGTGAAGAGTTACTTACAAGTGAAGAGATGAAGTTTAATGAGATCCATTGGAGAACTCGCAGCTACATTGTCCATGCTTTTGAACTGATGAAAGAAAAATTTAGAAAGTTAAATCACATTGATATTGTAAAACCTGAATCAGTTCACCTTCTGATATCTGTTGCATGTATTCTTCACAATTTTATTTTGATGCATGAAGGATATTCTGAAGTAAAGGAGGAAATGGTTTCGTATGATGATGGTGTTACAATCAATACTAGTATAGTACAAACTGCTGAAGAGAAACGTCAATTCTTATGTAATTATATAAATTTTATTGAAACAGAAGATGTGATAAGTTAAAAGTGTATAATATTGTAATAATAAAAAAATAAAAAAATTAAATTATGTGTTGGGTGTGTTAAAAAGAAAATAAAAACTAAATTGGTGAAAATTGGTGGCATCAAATAGAAACAAAATGACAAAATAAAAGTCTCGGGCGCCAGATACCACCTTAAAAGAACACAGAACCCACCACAAACACAACAAATACCTCGGACATCTCAGCCAGCACCGAACCTTTTTAAAACAAAGCGGGAGGACAGCTAATGAATACAAGATGTTAAGTTCTATTGGCAGTTTATTATCCCGTAGTGTCTGTAGAGTACAATGTGTCTTATGTCTCTAATTACATTCGGTAATTCTTATACACAAATTAGTACTGTCATTAATGCAATCCTTTTCAATAAGAAAAATATAAGGTTAATTAAATTTTAAAGAGTCACATGAAGACCCAAAGAGAAAAGAGTATAAGGGTAGTTGTAGCAACGCCCTACTCCCTTAAGTAAAATTAACCCCTTTGGGGACCTGTATAGGTTTTTAAACAAAGTCGCATAAAGACTTAATAGACAAAACAATAAACTCTAAAGGTAGACATAGCATTGACCTACTCTCTAATAAAAATAACACCCCTTAGGGACCTGCAGTATTCAATGCCACGTCGCCAAGAAAAATATAACAAAAACACATACCGATGACCTTGGATCAGTCCGAACGAAATGAAATCAAACCAACTCCGAAACTTCTCACTCCGGTTCCCACGTGGTGTAAGAGGCGGGTCAGCACTCCCAGGCTCCAGACCATGGCGTACAGCTAAGCAGCTTTTTCTACCATTCTGGCGCTCCACAGCAATCTAATTTCTTGGGGTCAAACTCCGGCGAGAGACAAAAATCGAATGCCACGCAAGGACATTCCAATAAGAAAGTAAAATAATTTAGGTAATGTAAAGACTTTAGATATAAGCTAAAAAAGAAAAGAACCCTGATTCATCAGGGTTCTAAAATGCTTCACAAATCAAGCAGCGGCATTATAAGCATTATAAGCATTGCCTTTCTCATCAAAAATAATCACTCGATCCACTAGCTCGAGTCTTAACTAGGTTGGCCAAACTTTTAAAGAGGAAATAGGCCCTCGTCCATATCAAAAAAAATACGGATTTCTAAAAAATTAAATGACAAAATTTGTTTTGCGTCATTTCGCTCGGCGGCCGGTCCAAAAGTGAAAGTCAAAGTGATACCAGTGCAATCGCCTCTCGCTCTATAGAGCGGGGACACAAAAATGTTGCCTGTACAAGAAAAATAAATCGACTAACTACTGCGGGCGAACAACATCGATTATTACTCTCGTCCGCCCCTCGACCATCGGCACACGCAGAAACGACAAAAAATTCAACCTAACAAAACAAAAACGAGACTATGGTTCAAATTACTGTAATGGTGCGAAATGCACCGTTACAATATTAAATAGCTTTTACCTGTCAAGAAATTACTTTTATTAATTTGCTTACTTTATTTATATTGACTGTTAAAAATTAAGTGCAGTAAATTTCAATAGGTGAAAGAAAAGTTTGCACAATTTCAGCCACCTCTATTAACAGTCGGCGGTTGTTAGAGAATTTAACTTTGTTTCATTTTGAAGTTGGACCAAAAATACGTTTTTCTTATGACTATTATATGTGACTGTTTTCCTATATTTCAGTGTTGTGATTCAAAACTTCTTAGGCTATTGATAAATTTCATTTATTTGTTGTCATAATAACGTAACATAGCGTTTTGATCAAATTGACATAATGTCACACAGTAGTTCTCCATCGCATTCGGTCACCAGGTTCTTTTGCAAACCTAGTTTTGATCTGGGGCTATTATTTGTTCTATACCTCAAGGGGGGACTAGCCATAGTGATTGATTACGGTTGTGTAGATTCTTAGTAGGTACTATATGAAATAAACAACTCAGTGCAGCGTGCCCGTGACTGGCTGCGATTGGTCTGCAAGTCGCTTCAGGTGGATTGCGATTGCGCATCGCAACTTTTTTGCTATCTATTTTATTACTAGGCCATAATTTGAATAAAATAAAACAAAAATCAACCGTGAGTTACATTGACCAAATTTTTATATTATTTTCTGACAAAATCATACCCGTCATCCATGAATAATTGGCTCGAATGATAAAGATAATCTGAAGTAATTTACTCAATGGTTCAAAATAAATATCATTATAAACAGTAAATTCTTACAATAATCAATGTTGTAACTATGACGTATAGCAAGAAATTATATATTGTTAGATACAAAAAAAAAGGGTCAATGTAGAAAGTTGGTATTATTGCTTACTAACACAATATGTAGTTGGTGGGTACATGGTACAAGACCACGAAAAATGGTACGTACGTTGGTACGTCCAACTCCCTGGATGCGTGAATTTTGCTGTGTAGTCCTTCTAAGAAATAAAAACACACTTTCATTTTTTTATATTTATATTTTCTTCTCTAGCACTGAATTTCATACAACTGCCAGCATAATGATATAAAAAATATAAATAAAACATATTTTGAGTTGATACTAATGACATGTTTTGATGAACTTACAGTTTGGTATTCAATACATAACAACATTATTAATATAAATGATTCCAAAATTGTATTATCCATTATTTATTATAATCTAAAACATTAAAAAAAACATTTTGTCGTACTCACTTTAGTAGGTACGTAGATAGATAAATCACTTACATCAATATATTTTCTACTGCTTAATATTTGTATGTACAGAAATAGATAGATTATTTTTCTTAAAATAAGAGACTTTGATTGTTTTACGGTGGGAATACTAGCTCATTTTTAAGATATCTGGTGGTTTCTTCAGCCTAATATTTTTTTATCCACAATCAAATACTGTAGTTCCAATTTATACACAATACAATGAAAATATAAGTAAGTCAAGGCATAAACAAAATTGTCTACAGATATGTATTTTAAAGCAAATTAAGCTTATATACACAATTGATAAAAAGAAATTGAAAATAAACCTAAACAGTTTTATACTATAGTTTACAAATAAATAATTTTCTCTGTCCTGATGTATACTACATAACATTAGGCACTAAATTGGCAACCTACAAGGCACTATGCACTTAGCACAGCAATATTTTGCTATAATAATTATATTATGATCCTTTATTGTAACAAAATTTATACTTAGCTATGATTTTACTACGGCTCGTAATACTATTCTTGAGATTAGTCTGACTTATGGCCAGTTCCTACGACACGAATATAGTTACTGAACTAAATAATACTAATCTCTTGGATAAAATAGTACTAGGATTAGTTTTGATATTTAAAGTAACTATGAGTTTGTGTCAGCTCCCCCAACAGAAAATAAGAACTACCTAGAAACTGGCGAAAATAAATAACATGCCCTTGTGTAGTAAGCATGAGTTGGTTACACCTACATTGAACAGAATAACTAGTTAATATTTTTGTTATAGGAATACACCAAACGATATGTGCCTAACGAAATAGAAATACATTCGTACTCAGTCAACTATTACTGAAGGTACGTAATACATTTTTATAGATATCATTTCGCTAAAATACGCACTTGACTTCGTCAAGTTATGATAATATCTGTAAGCCCGGAGCTTATAATATTATATAACAATACCGCGTATATACAAATTCACTTATATTTACATTAGCTGCACACGCAATATTGGCTATTGCACTTCTCTTAAGTCGTAATAGACATTCAGATTAGTTGCACCTTTTGTTATATCTACGCTTTAGGATTATGGAATGTGACAAAAAACTGACCCTAATTACATCTAAACCTGAAAACTATTTACAAACGTCAAATGAAACATTAATTAATAAAAATACGATCAGTCTGATATTGTTGCTGTTTATGACATTAGCGATTTTCCATTTTCATGTGGTTATTACATGTCATTCTGTTACTTCGTTTGAATAAAACAATTAACATGTTTTTTTTCCGTTTCACTTACATAGCATCTTAATAACTGTTTTAATATTAAAGCAGTGTTCACCATATAAGTGGAGTAATAACTATGTACCTATGGAATAATCAGCCGACGGCACACAGAAACGAGACAAAATATTATTTACACGATTATAGTTCACACTGAGCGAATCACACATAATTCACTGTCTTAACCGACACTCGGAAGACTTGGCACACGCGACAATATTATATTTATCGTCTCAATCACTTCTCAATGGACCCATACACAGTTTGTTTTGGTAATTTTCAAATATAAGTCTTTTTAACCTTCTGCAACGTGCCGCACTTGAGATCTTTGTCCAAAGATTCGGTCGAGTTTCGTAAGTCCAATGTACGCTCTTTACCGAGCTCTAGGTGCAAGTTGTCCTGTTTAGGACATACATTTGCCACCATATTCACGTTTTTCGAACGAGGTATGTATGCGGTATTGGCATTTAAGGGCGTTTCCAACGGGCTCAATCTGGAAATAACATACATATTAATATTTGAAATATAGGAACTCCCGTTACATCGGCTACATTAAAACTTAAATACTGGTTTAAGTTGTTTAAATCATTGGTACGTCCTAATTAAATTCGGTTTGTTTATACAGCATGGTACAGAAAGTTGTAGTCAAATTTTGCGTGCGTTATATGTGGCTACCTATTGTAAATGTTATTTTAATATTTTTGTTTAAAACTGCCTGTATTTACATTGCACGAATTCCGCATGGCAATGTCTGCCAGTCGGCCTTTGAGAGATTCAGTAAGGGACATTGCAGGTGTATCAAAATAAAATTACCATGAGAAATGTCGACTTTGGTTGAAAAAAATATCTTGACTTTTTTCGAAAAATGCATTTCGAAAGAATTTCCAGGTACGAGTATTGGGGTTTTATTTTTCGTGCAAAAATTTTCAGGAAATTGTTAACATTTGCTCAACATCCTTTGTGTTAAATATTCATAGCTTCATTCATGTTAGAACAATTTCACAAATGACATATTTATTACAAACAGCAAAACTAATGATAAGCTTTTGTAGCCAATTTTAAACCTATAAAAAGTTTCAAGTTTTCCTAAAATTGTTAGCACTTTATGTAACTTATAGGGGCTCCCGCTTTAGATATTTCTGCACCTTTCTGTAACACCTGTATATGAGGTATGTATAAGTATGTATGTTACATGTGTAGAAGTGCGAAAATGATGTGTGACTAAGCATATTGTATCTGTACAAAATCAATTTATACAAGTGCAATGGCATATTCGTGGTACAACATTTCAGCGAGGATTTGCGGATTACAACTATAACTCACTTCTGGAAATCATAAAAACTCGCCTGTAAAGGAAAACTGTATTGTCATTTATGCAAAAATGATTTCAATTATGCTACTTATTGTCTTGACAACATTTTTTACTTTATTTTATTATTAGTTAAGCAGAAAAATACCTGTTTAAATGATTGTGTTGCTCATTGAAAGGCGAGGTATCGGTAAAAAATGGGTGTCGAAATCTTCTTGAGAAAAGGTATCCGATGACAAATCCGACCATGAGTGTAACTAGGCAGGAGGCTACTACAGCAGTGAGTAAAGCTTGTGCACTGTATATGTTGCCGTCAGCGGCTTCCACCGTTAGTAAATCTATAAAAAATACATAAATATGTAAAAACCAAACTCGAAACTTTATTGAAATCAATTAAATTATGCTGCAATCTCTTGTTACCTGTTTCATGTTTATTGTTTGTAGTTCCTTTCTCGTCTGATAAAACGTTTGTTTCAACGACTTCTATTAATATCTCATTCTGAATATCATCTGTTTTCTGTCGCGTCTCGGACTCAGATTGTGTAGGCTTTTTGGTCCCTGGGTTCCTATTGCTATGTCGATCACCGGGCAAGAGAACTGGCATCTTATTACATACTTCAGTCTTTCCATATTCTACGTTCTGTAGAAACCTTGGGTTAGGAAATTGTCTGTTTCCGACCCAAGAACATACTTGTTGCTTAGAATCCCATCCGCAATGAGGATCTTGCAACGCAACACATTCCCTGAAATTAGTAAAATCGCAATTAAAATAGATGCTATTCTTAGAAGAAGAAGTATAGTATAATACTACTTTAAATTAATTTGGTTATATGATTACCTGCACGACTGTACGTTTGCACAGTGAGAGAGCGTTACGGCTTTTATGATATCGCCAGACGCAACAATTAGTTTTTCAGTGGTTAACGCAACATGCATTTGTTTGATAGGAACACCTTGAGGTAGTACTTGTACTTCTGAAATCACGGCTGTCCTAACTGGGTTTTTGCTGTATTCATCTGTACTTGTGTCAAAGTCACCTTCATTAGCAGCAACGTTGACAGCTTTGATAACTCTTCCATCATCGGTACCAATATACATAACATCATATTTGTTTCCATTCATCGCTTGTACTTGAGGATGCACCGCAATAGCTGAAAACCTATATTGTAAACTGACTCTAATGAGAACTGGCCTAGCTAGGAATGATGGGACGGCTTTATTCATCAACGGATGTGTTTTTATGAAGTTTACCGCTGAATCGGAGAGAGTTCGACTGTCTTCAACACAAGAACCTGGTCTATTTTCAGGTATTTTTTCTTTCTCTAAGGGTAGCCAATTAGAATTCATACTTTCTTGGCCTTTAAATGTTCCTTCGAAAGCATCAATTATGTCTCTCATAGAAAATGCACAAACTGCTGATCCGCCGATAGCATTTTGAGGAGTTGTAAAAACAGCGTACATAATATCGTTTTTACTGGCACTTTTTCCGTACATTCCATTTATTACTTCAGTCGTTGCCTCTGGAAATTATAAAAAAAAATGATTTAAATCTTTTACTGCAATCGTAAATGTGGTAGAAATATTAAATCTCATTCCATTTGTTTTAACTCACGAATTTCATCGAAATAAAATGGATATTCGCCAGGCATGGAACAATTGAGACGAGCTTTTAAAAAAGATGTCCATCTATCGCTAAACGAATGGGGGCCACCTTTGTCATTTAAACATATTCTTGCTACTCTCGAATACACAGCCTGTTGAATTAAAAAAAATAATAATAATTATTATTAAATTATTACGCTCTTAATCAACACTAGATTGAATGTAATTTTAGTACTGACCTTGCCGCAGTTCATGAATTCAACAGCTGTTTCCCGATAGAAAAAGTAAACATGGCTAGTAGAAGCCACAGCCCCTACGAATGACGGATCGTTGAGCAAACGAAGATCTGAGCGTTCCGTTCGTACTGGCTCGCGGTATATTAGAGGATCAGTTCCAGAAAAATCTGCTGCTGTCGCTGTATACAATTGACCATCTGTAAGCAAAATAAATGATTTCAAATTATATTATTATCAGTAACAATTACAGCCGAATCACGTGTTGAACAATTCTATACATTCTACGACGACAATTCTTTATATTTTTACTAATCAATGACAGACGTTGTATTAAACATAATGTTGTCCCTTTTATGCATTTAGTAATAAAATATTGAAATTAAGAATGTGTGAATATTGAAAATCCATATCTTACCAACAAATATCGCAGTGGAATTATGTTGTGGATCGTAAGGACAGCGACCTGAACCGTCGAATTCTTCAAGATGGTGGTTTGCGGGATGTCTTGCATATCGGCGGCATAATGGTTTGAATGCGTTGGTGCCGCAAACTAAGAGCCTGCCATGCGCACGAGCCGCAACTCGCGGGTAATTCTGGCATTCATCTGCCGACTTCCCCTTTAATTGACACAGTTCTCTGTGTGCATCTGTTGATTGCCACTCCAAACGCTGTGAACAATTATTTTAGTCATCGCATCTTTTTTTTCTGTAATGCAACAGTAAAGCGGCATACGCTGCTTGCACAGGAAATCTTGAATTTTATTTGAAAGTGTAGTTTTGTGTGTGTTATTTATAAAAGTTTCCGTAAACAGCCCAGTTGTTAGTTAATTTCTCTCGGGATCATAAATAAAATGGCGTGGCAAATGGTTTGCTAAATTTGTTCAGTTTGTGTTCTAAACGACTGTTGAATGACCATACTTGTTGGCAAACCGGTTAATTACACAGAGTAACAAATTCACTTTGAGTTAGATGCGAGGCTTCGGGTTTGCCCTATTCCCGAACATTCTCATAAGCAAGCCAATTAGTATCTCCATTGTTTGTCCTGCAGTGCACTTTTTATCACCTCATTGTTATCGGATAAGGGTGTATTTATCTCACTGATAAGATAGACGTATTGTACAACTTTTAGAAACGTAAACTGTTTTGTAAATGTACGAAAATCGTCATTTAAAGAATACAATTGCCAACAGGTTGAATAAAGAATAACTGTAGGTATGATTAGTATTCGGGTGAGACGAAGTGGACGCCCTGTGCCTTTGGCCATGAATAATTTAACACACCGGTGCTCACCGGCTAAGTTTTACATGTGACACGTAATTTAAAACATAAACTTGACATTCAACTTATAAATGTTCAATCACTGAGTTAATTACATTGCTCATGTAAGGATTGGTTATTTTTTTGCCCAATCCCTAAAATACTAATTCATCGTTTACATAATGAATTATCTTACACGTGGAATCTTCCCTTGTAAGGGCATTGAACGGATATATGATGTCTCTCATATAACCGTGTATAAACACAAGACTGTTTTTCATGAGTAAAACGTTAGTAATTTTTGGCTGAGTGCCAAACAATCTCTCACCCTGCGTCCGTTCGCCCATTTCGCTTCGTATTTTTATTTCACACACCGTGTGGTACCGTCAATCGAAACTTTCAATAAATAACATGGAGTGTATCAGATATTTTTTTAATAAATTGTCTTAAACATGACAGCTTTTATGCCATATCGACTCTATGATAACAATAGAATGGTCAATATCAAACATGTATACAAGCGAGACTTTGTCTGTAATTAAGATATTTGAGGTACGATCTTAGGTTATTGGCTGCAGGGCAAATTTTATAAGTATGGCGCAGCTCCATGGAGCTTTGACATTTTTATTTGACAGCAATCTTTTAATACATCTTTAATTTTACATTCCTTGACGTTGAACTATTTAATACCATAGTATGGTTATTCGGTACGTATGTTCCTATGTCTATAATTTAAAGGAATGTGTACACTACAGCGTATTTATGTATTCTAATTGTTAAATAAGTATGAATACAGATATTTTTGTCATTATAATGTCAATATATTAGATGTTTATACATAACTTCGTTAGAAAAAGTAAACGGCATGCCTCATTCAACGGTTTCACTTTTATTTTGCCAAAACCATGCTTTTATTTATGCAGCCTTGATACCATGCTCGTCATCAGGAAAGAACAACCCCATGGTCACTAGCTTAGTAGCTACTAGCGTAGTTCTTTTCGTGACTGAGTACAGTGCATACAATAAAGAATGCGACTATACAAAACAGTATAACTATGTCGCTGCCTTTATATTTTAATACACTCAAACACAATAGTACATTGCAACTAGAATTTTATTGAAAATAAATGCTTGCCGCTTAAAGTGAGTCGTAAGAATGAATACTTAGTGCAGTAGAATATACCTAATGTAGTAAGTTATTTGTGTAAGATTAGATACAAAAACCGGTAGTGGAGTGCGATACCTATTACGGGTTTCGATACTCGTACGTTCATCGACCGACGGCTGCCACTACAGGCGGAAAAAGCTGGAGGGATTTCTGTGATATCAATCTGGACTATCAAGTTTCTGTGGCGAAGATATCACTTACCAAGAAGAGCACTGGATTTAACCAAATACAAGATAAAGTAATGATTTTTTTTTTTAAATTGATGAGGTGTCAAATACTAAAGAAATATGGAATAAGGCAATACAGAGTAGGCCCCCGCGTGTACCCTGGTTTGAAGATTTGAACTTAGGTAGAATTTATGTAAAACTGGCACTAAGACCCCGTTCTGGGCACTTTCCGTCAGCAAAGTTCGTATTTCTAATGGGAAAAGTAGAATCACCAAACTGTAATGTATGCAATCAGCTGGAGGACTTGCAGATGATGGAATGTGTCAGAAACGAAATGGAAAGAGAATAATTAATGAAGGAATTCAATAATTGAGCAGTTTGGTATTGGTGCCTTTTAATGATTCTTCTTTATAAGTTGATCAATTATTTTTTTTGGGAAAAGGACAACTCCCGCATTAGGAGTATATCCTGTGTCGCGGGGGACTTTACAAACATACATGAAACGGACACAAAGAACACCCAGACTCATAACAACAATTTGTGGATCACACAAAGTGTCGTCCCATGTGGGGTTTGAACCCACAACGTAGGAAGCGGCGTGGCGACCGCTTAAACCACTACGCCATCCGTGCAGTCATTGTATGTATTTTTCATTAATAGCTTAAGTAATGCAGTCATTAATTGTATGTATAGTAGAGAATAAGTTAGTATAAGATACAATGAAGCTGGCGTGCCCAAGTGGGCAAAAGCTCCTTCAAAAACACTAGAATAAAAAAAAAGACTATCTGCCTGCGAATATTTTATCCTTATAAATGTAACTGAATGTATATTTTTAAGGAATAAATACCTGTTCTAAATTTTCTGACAAATCGTAGAGGCTGAGGTTGTAGACTGTATTTCTGTAAAATAATAAAATATCATTTTAATTATTGCTTGATGTTAAAAGAACTGTGTTATTTAAATAATACTTCGATACATTCTTAGAATATATGTTTCAATCAATAATAAAAGCCTTTTTAATAATTGTATTAGTAAAAAGAAGTAATTACCTGCCGCCCACGATAATAGAGAAGTCATCTTTATCTAATATACGGAAGTGATCCGGCGCCGTCGCGTTGCCCACGAATTGTTCAGAAGTTTCATCGCCTGAAACAAAACCGATAGAATTGTATTTTTTTTCTTCACGTAGTCTTGGAACAAAAACATTGTTTAACATAACAGTTAGGCAGTTAGCCAAACAATTATTTAGATTTCTCATCAAGTGTCAGGTTCGTCTGTGTATTTTACAAATATTTATAGTGATACATATATACAATAAGAAATAGAGATGAGCGAAATGTGACGAGAAACTGGGTGTATAGTCTCTCCAATTGTAATGAAAAGATAGGGTTGCTGACGAGACTAGATGAACGTTCTTGGAAGACTATCGCCTGTTGATTGATTTTGAAATGTTGCACATTGATTGTATAAACTCAAGTAAGTACTTATATCATTATGAGAAGTAAAAACATTGGAAGGAATAAAATATACGAAAGGATACATTTACATAGTTTTTTTATAACGGTATTATATTGTGTTATGTATTATGTTATAGCGGCTTTTGGTTTTGGATATTTGTCGAACAAATAAAAAAACTGAAAGCCTTAACATGAATTATAAAATTTATGTTTTTTTTTCGGTAGTATAGCCTAATCTACCTTAATCTTTTGTTTTTATTATTACTTTAATTGATTAAAATACCCTATTTCCAAATACAAATTATATTTCTGCAGAAGGAAACAAATATCCACCCACATATGAATATAACGTTATTAAAGATCTAAAAATATTGGTACATTTCACGGAAACATGAAGATAATGTTATTAAGAGAATTAAGGTAATCTGATTCCTTTGAAGGATGAAAGAAGTTTTTGAGGCTTTTGTTGTCGATTCAAATGTACATATTGATGTTTTTTTGCTATGCTAAGTTTACCGAACAAAGTTCCCACTGTATGGTGATTAAATAACAATGAATGTTTGCGATTTCATAACAATTGGTTGGAAAATTCTCACATGTCACTACAATACAATACATCGAAGTCGACACCAGTGTCTTGCACCTGCCATTTAGTTTATCACAGGATGTGAATTTTTAAGATCTGTTTATGTTTAAGCAGTACTCTGACTGAGAAAACTTATTGTATTACCTACATGAAATAAACAGCGGTAATATGTATAATAGCTTTTAACCTGTAAAGTTATTAACTCGTCAAGTCGCCAAATGACGAGATTAGACAAAAATTAACCATACGAAATAGTCCCAAAAAGAGCACAAGCGATTATGGGCAAGTATTTGAGGCACTAAATTTATTATGTTATTATTTATTTTCTACATTAAATAATATATTTTTTTATGAAACTTTTAACTTGCAAAGTTAATTGGTAAAGTCGCTAAATGACGACTGTTTAAATATAGTCCCAAACAGAGCGCAAGCAGTTATGGGAAAGTATTAGAAATTTGAGTCATGATTTTTTGACAAAAACTAAATCTTAGATAGAGTCTAAAAACTTGAGGTCTCGAGTTAAGTAAGATTGCCGGGCTGGTCGCAAACTTCACGCTTGTTGACTCAGTCGCTTGCCGTCGATTTACATTACTTAACTGTACTGTATGTATTATTTATTTTGTATGTTTTTACATAAAAAGGAATCTGAGTATGTAAATCGGTGTTCTAAAATCAATAGTATAAGTTTTTGCCTCGTTTGGGTGTAGATAGCGCTGTGTAATATGGCCCAAAATATTAGTATAGGTATTTAAATACGTTGGTTTTGGTATAAATATTTCAATGTAAATTCCTGTATGTTTCAATTACTTTATTTCTAAATACAAAAAATACAACTTTAAAAGCAAGGCAAATATTTATTCATAACTGCCCAGATTTTACAGGAAATGTTAAGTACGTTTGTTTAACTTATGAATATTTTTTAATATTGAAAGTGAAAAAGGTTTAGAATTTTGTATGTACTGTACTGTTTAGTAAATTAATTTGGTTTACCAATTAATAGCATATTTCTTGTTTTACAAAAACAATTTGGAGAACTAGATATCATTGATTAAATCGCTTTTGCTTTTTTAATACCATGTTTTTTTTATTACCATATTTAATATGTATGCGAGCATTTGCATCCGGCATCCAGGCTTGGGCCGTGGATGCTAAGAGCACAAGGACCGCGCGGGCGACGGCCATCTTAATTCAGTGCCTCCTCTCTATGCAAGCCATTTTTCTGCACTCCGTGCTCTCTGAAACAATAAAAAAATACATTCAAGAATAGAACTTGAACTAAAAAGAAAATTAAATAATCCCATGCTTTTTTCAAGTATAAGTATTTTAATATTTTAAAGTTGTAATAAACAACCCAAATAATTAAGGAATCGATGTCGATGTGTGAAACAACCTCCTTATATTAAAAAGTTGTATTGTACTTAGAAGGTATTATTTACATGGCTGAAGACAGAAACAAAGATATATTGCAAAAAAGTTGGCTAAAACAAATTATGTTCTTCTATGTTCATAGGAGTTTCTCCTAATTGTTTTTTTAAGTTTCCTATGGTTCTAAGGGAATAATAAATAGGTAGGTAAAAGATGGAACTACTGATCGACCCCGGAATAATCCCGTTATCTGTATGACAAATATTAAACTAATCTGTCTATCCGTCTCAGTGTGAAACAGTAAAAACATTAAGTAATTTACTCAAATAAGCTATTCGACTGAGAAACTTGAGTAAGTTGAGTAGTTAGCAAAGTCTGTTTAATGAGTATGTATACATTTGACCCGCGGTGTAACTTAAAGTAACTAACCAAGAGATGGTTTCTTATTCTAGTTTTATACTATTATATAAGATTTGTTTAACTATGTATATGGGTTCACAATGTTCCTGTACATACTAAAAAGGGTTTGCGCCCCCTGGCTGTGTCCCAAGGCATTAAGGCTTGTTTTACCAAATTCTTATTATAAAATATATTCGGCGAAGTAGCAGACATGAAAGTTTAGTTTTAGTACAATAAAAGTATTAGTCCTTATATTCTTATCGTTGCAAGCATCACGGTAGTGCATCATCGTTTAACCGTTGCAACTTGCATGGACAAGATTTATTCAGACGATAAAGTTGCTTACAGTGTCATAATTCATTGTGTTGTACACGTGGCGGTGGTTATATATTTTTGCAATATTTTTGTTCGTTACTGTTACTGTACAAAAAAAGAAGATTGTATAATTATTTTAATGACGCACGATAATGTATTTGTGTTGCCGTTGAACGCACGCATATCTAGTGGCTGGGTCTGGTTTTCGGTCACACGGGACGCTCGTTTGACGCACTCAGCATGCATCTACGCGCACGCACTCATTGCTCAGGATTCGCAAGCTACTTTTTTATGTTTTTTTAACTATCCTTGCCGATCGTGAGAAATAAAGGTCGACGTCTCATCCCGGTCGTAATCTGAACAATTCGTTTGCTACGATATCTTATTTTTAATCCACCTTTTATGTCTCGATCAGTTTATCGAAGACATTCATCTTTTCTTTGCATTATACTACATCGAGAGATATCAAAAAGTATTCCTATCGTAAAGCGGGTCATTTTATGGTATTTTTTTATGCAGGCGGGCTGCTAAATCGTAAGCTGTTTTTCTAGGTTTGACTTTGGAAACATCAAGGATGATTATTTCTGACCTTATGTAGGCATCCCACAAGGTACTTTTTATTAAACGATATGTATGTATATACTTATTCGGCTTTGGAAATCCTTGTAATTGATTGAGATTGTATATTTAAGTATTTGTCTTTAAAATTTCATTTTTATGATGTTGATAGTGTGTGCGTGTGGTGACGGATTAAGAATACGGAATGTCGCCACCCCTATTCATCCCGTGGGTGTCGTAAGAGCCGACTAAGGGAACAAACCCTATACCAACCCGTCTGGCCAGCGTGGTATAGTGGGCCAAACCCTCCTTTCTAAGGAGAGGCCTATGTCCAGCAGTGGACTATTATAGGTTGTTGATGATGATGATGATGGTGCTGAGAATGCACTTGCTAGTAGGTATTTTCTATATTAAAGCATGATTACCGTCTGTTCTGAATTATCTTGTAAACCCTCATATAATTCGATGGCGATAACATAAAGTTTATAGTGAAAAAAGTTATAAACACATATGTTGAGCATTGTATATAATTCATTCGTAGGGTAAGCATAATAAAATAGAGGAGTGATATTAATCAAAAATGTATTTTATTAAAGGATCTTTCAGTATTGAATCGCATTTCATATGTTATGTTCTAACGAAAAGGGTTGAGCGTTGATGTAATATGCCGCCCCGTTCAATGCACAGATGTCCAACAAAATATACGGAGGAGTGAGTGCACACTACACACAGGGCAACGTATTGGATATTTTCATGCATGTGACCGCGTTACTGTTTTGGAACTAAACGCAGAGGGATGTGTGCCGTTTAAACTCATTCGTATGAATACACTTGCAATACGAGTATATTGTACACACTCCTATCGTGTAATTTATAAGCGAGGAATATACAGACACAATACAATATATAAGATTGCACAAATATGTTAAATGATAGATAGGCTAATTCATAAAAGTTACTGAGTCATAGAGTTCGTTCACGAAGCTTTTCGCATTGATGAGAAATCCGTTCTATGTGTTGACATAGAAATATCAAAGAAATAAATGTGTAACGATATCGCGCCGTCAAGACGAATACGAAATAAAGAAAATATAAAAATGCAAAAGAGGTGCTCGAATGAATATTTTATGTTAAGACAGCTATAGAAGTACTCGGTATACTGTACGAAACTATCTAAAGTGACACAGGTAGCTCTTGTTAAATTTTTGTATTCCAATTCTAAATCAGCATAACCATAGATACCGATAACTTAAAATACTATTTTCTATCGTTTAACTTTATAATCATAGCATTTTTGTTTCTCGCCGAGATTGCTAGATCCCTATATCCCAAAATACGATAAATAAGATAATGCGGGTGTTCCGTTGACCCAGCTGACATATGATCCTTGAACGGCGACCGCGACGTGATGAAGCTACTTACGATCTCACGCGGATCAGGAAGCTACGGTTCTTGTCTGTCGCTAGCAATAAATAATCCACTCGAGAAACGGGTCAGTTTAACGTTTAGTTTAAGAAGACTATGCTAAGACTTTGAAAGACAGTTTAATGCCATTTTCCATATCAGCACACAATTTATTGCCGCCTCTGGCGGTGTCGTGCCGGAAATGTATGTTTTTTAAACGAAGTGTGATATGGGTACTGGAGCTATGCTACGTGTTAGCAATTTATAACAACATTTCTGCTATCTACATATTCAACATTTTATCTTTTAGATGTAGGTAACTATACTCTAGTTCAAAAGTCTGAAAATGTTTTGATATGGTTAAACTAGTAAAAATGTAAGCTGTTGTTTTGTATATTTTATGGAGAAGTCACATTATTTATTGAATAAGGTGTTAGGATTTTATAATAATTTTACAAAAAAAATATATCTATAACAAAACTACTACTAAAAAGTATTAGATGTTGTAGGTAAATAAAAAACTTCATACCAAAATTAATTGAACGTCCAATAAACCACATAATAAGTAGTTTATTGTGATATGTTGTGTTATATGTATCTGTCTTTCTAAAATACACAATATTTCTTCAGCTACATCATAACTTAAGAAATGTTGTTTTATATATTCGGTTACTTAAACCTTTCACGGATTTGCCGGTACCTAATGAAAAAGTGCAAAGTAGAACTGAGTCTCTTCTTAGAAAGACCATAAGACCTACTGTACCACTTATAGGAGTCGGAATCTGTCACTAAACGGACGGAAAAGTAGAACTTAAGTAGGTGGTATATGTTTTATAGTTTTCGTATAATTATAATCTTTTAGAATACGACTGTTTTCATAATAAGCGCTGTGAACACATCGCGGAGATTAAGAGCAATCACCATAGATGTAAAAAATTACGGCAAGACTACAGAAGAGCTAAAATATTTTAAACATCGTGAACCTGACACATTTCTTCTTCGTTATCTTGTTTTGAAACGCAAATTAAACTAGTTACAGTATTTTATTAGAGTATGAACACGAATCCAAATAATGTTATGTTCCAATTAAAGTTCATTATCTATATAGTATAGGTATTTCCTGATAATGCCGACTGATAAACTAGGTGATATCTGCACCTACTTACTAGTTGCCAGTTTGGGATATGTTTGGTTGTTTGAAGTATGTCCTAATTAATGTTTTCACAAATACTTAAGTAACGTTTGTATTAAAAGCTTTTTTTGATGCAAAATAACATAGGAAAAAGGTACTTACTGTGATCGCAAACAGAAAAACATTTTGTTCTTAAGCGACATCTCTAACAAATTTTGTTTGTTACTCATAAGAGTTAAACGCTCTTCTTTACGGATACTAGGGTACAGGATTGTTAAAATTTAGTTAGTAAAAATATTATAAACATTAAACTATTTTACTAACGGAAGTTAATTATTATTTTTAAGTTGTATGTAAATTAAATGTTGTAAATTAAATTCATCTTGGACTATGAATAAAGATAATAAAAATGCTTTCAGCGCTTACCACGTTTTAAGTTTCTGTACCGCAAAATAACATACATAATACATACATACATATATAACATAAGTCTACATTATTAAATAAATAAAAAACCCGACTGCAAAATGGTTAAGATATACCATTTTATAATCCCTTTAATTTGAGACCTATATTGCACTATCCAAAAACTTTTTTTTACTTTAAACTATAGCGTCTCACAGTCGTCATGTTGGTTAATTATCGCGTCACCTATCTAAGTACACTTGGGTTACCAAGACGAATCTAACGATATGTTAATTAAATAAATTCGTGCAGCGGTTTGTAAGATAGGAGGTGATAAAGAATATTACATGCATACAAGATATCCTTTATAGGATCACTTCGTTGTGCAACTCTCTGTCTGTCTTTTCTTATGTAAGTATCACATCAACAGCCCTTAACAGTCCACTGCTGGACGTAAGCTTCTCCTTAGAAAGGAGGTTTTGGTCTACTACACCACGCTGGCTAGACGGGTTGGTATAGGGTTTGTGTCAAGTTTTCCTTCTCTCTGCAG